ATTATTATACATTATATATGTATATAGATTATTGCTATTTTGAAATATGTTCTTAAAGTTATTTTTCCTAAAATGTAGAACGGTAAATAAAGAAGTAAAGCTAACAATTACCTCTTTTAGTTACGACCTTTATACTTGGTTGCTGCTTCATGTAGGTTGCTAAGCCTTGAAAAATTTTGCACGTGGAGGATATGAAACAAAATTTTTTTAGGGGTTATATATATACTTGAATAACTAAAAAAATCATAAATTACTACATCAATACCAAAGAATTCTACTATAATTTATCAAACTTAGTAACTAAGCTGTATTTGGGTCTAAAATAATATGAAATTTTGAGCAGACTATAAACACAACCTACCTCATTAAAATCTTGGTTCAAAAGAAAGAAATGGCATTAGTTACGTCAGAAAGGCTGAGAAAATCACTAGGGAGACATTCTGAGCTTCCAATTGGTTTTTCATGTCATAGAAGTAAGTGTATATAAGGAAGTGTTTCCAAAAATGAAAAGAGGTGGGCAGGGTGCCACTGTGATTTATTACGTGAGCAATATCTTAGCAAATAGAAAAGATAAGACCTTCTTATTTTATATTCTAGCTTGTCAATATCTGTGATTTGAGTTTCTCATTCGTATGAAACTATAGACTTAGTATTTTGACTTCAGAAACATCTAATTTGAACCAGTGCTGCATTGAACATATCACATGACACAAAAATCGATGATTATGTGTTTTTTTAATATTTACTTCTAAATTAACATATTGAGTAATGTATAGTTCTAAAATTTGAATTATAATCTACATTTTGATACCAAACATTGACATAAATTCATGAAATAGTAGTTCAATAAAATTTTGAACGTGAGTCAACAAATGAGATGACATGGCCTTTCACCTGTGACCTGTCTCGAAAGGGTTAATAAGCCTAAAAACTAATTGATTAGCAAATACCACTAATTTCTCAGCTCGATTCCAGAATAATTTTGTAAATATTTTTGTGTAAAAAAATAATAGTAACTTTTTGGTATAAAAAATCTTTGAATTTCCTTAAATTCTTTTGATACACTATTAAAGATTTTATATATATGGCATTTTGAGATGTCTTTTCCTTACCAAAATAATCTTGTATTTATATAGGATTCAAAGAATATTAAGCATTGTTACTAGTAATTAATTCTTGTAAATTATTCAACTGGCAAGTTGTTCAAGATGCAAAAAAATATATAAGCTTAATCTGTCATTTGATTTACACCTTGTCATCGAGTTATAACAGTTATACTAATTGTGCTTCACATTTATTTTTAGTGAATTAAAGATTTTGTTTTTTTTGGTACTTAATTCAAACTACATAGTAATATATGTCTGAAACATAATTTTGCAGGTTTTATCCATATGACGAGATTGAAACAGAAGCAGTTTTGGCAATCGATGATGATATTGTGATGCTTACAGCAGATGAACTGGAATTTGCGTATGAGGTAAAAGTTGGTTGTTTCTGGTAATTGTATTTTCATTTATGGACACACTAAATATTTTTATACTGAAAGTTCATAAACTTCTCAGAACCACAAAATAAATGAGCCAAAAGTAGCATGTCAGCCAAAATGAGTTTAGTAACTATGTTTTTATAAACTTACTATATCTTTGTATTGTTTTTTTTAATGTTCTATAGTTCTAGAGAAATCAGGCCTCTCTTTTGTTCATTTCTTATTTCTAGACAACAAAAAACTAATTTCTTTTATTATTTTTTTCTTGAGGCATATCAAACTTGTTTGCCTTGACAAATAGCAATATATTATCATTTCATTAATATATAGTTTTCCTTAAGTTTATGAAGAAGTACTGACACTAAATTGATCATTTAGCACAACTTAATATCACATATTGATATTAAAAGAAAATTTAATTTAAGATTTGTGATGCTCTTTTTTTTTTTTATATCACATATTGATATTAAAAGAAAATTTCATTTAAGATTTGTGATGCTCTTTTTTTTTTTTTAAATTATGTTTTACTTGTCACATCCAATCATTCAAACAATCATTTCCAAATAATTCTTTCTTTTTGAATCTCCCATGACACAATAATGTTATGATTGTATGGCAGGTATGGCGGGAATTTCCAGACAGAATTGTGGGGTTTCCATCACGAGTCCACTTGTGGGATAATAATACTGGCAAATGGAAATATGAATCTGAATGGACCAATGAAATATCTATGGTACTTACAGGGGCTGCCTTCTATCACAAGGTAAGATTGTCAAAATATTTTTGAAACTCGCAAAGTATACTTTAAACAACAAGATGAATAATTAGTGCTATCATCCTTAAGTGAGTTGCTGTGTAGAATGTTATATGTATAATATAAATTTGTAAACAAAGGTGGTAGTATTTGCCAATAAATCAAATTTTAATATCTCTTACACAATTGTTTTGCCTTCTATGAAATTTTGTTAAATGTATACGAGTACTGTTTCTCACAAAGAATCTGTGCACCACAAGGTAGTGTGTTTAAACTCTTCTAATTACATATTGTTCAAAGTATTTGTAAATTGAAACAAACTCTTAAAAGAAAAGCTAAAACAAATGTAAATGAAATAGCAAAGGGATTTGACAATGTTTGGCTTAAAAAGTGGTGCTAGAAATATGGGTATGAGTCTCCTCCTTCCACTATTTTGATTTCAACACACAGTCCATTATTTCTATGCAAAGGTACATGTACTGTGCATGGCATTAAATGTTACATTCATCTGTCTTTGGTGGCTTCAAGTACTTTCTAATGAGCTCCTTACTCAGGAGCCCTCATTTACAGCATTAACTGTATTGCATCTAATGGGTGCATGTGGCCTTGTTCTTCCACAGATTAAAAATAACACTGTCAGAGTTGAAATATGTTTAATAAAAAGTTTTATTTAATTTTACACGTAAAAAATTTTAAGATCACAGATATTGATTTTGGGGTTGATTTCAGTTTACTGTAAATGAAAACAACAACCTGTTGTATTGATCTTATAAGATATTTACATTGAAAATAGTATGGGAAACAACATAACTTCCCCATTTGGTTATGAAGGTCAACTTTGATTTTGTTTATATTTACACTCAGCAAAATGCTGTTACTTGAATGTCTAATATAGTGATGTAAATACTTTAGGAAAATATGTATACTCTTAGCTAATATGCAGTTATGTGGATGAAATTATTAATGATTCACAGTTGTGTTGGTAGTCATGTATTCACTGTGTTGGTAGTACAATCCTAATTTTACCAAACAGATTTCATTATTAATTAATTATTTGTTACCTGTTTTTGCATGACAGTGCCACATGATGTCAGATGTTTCAATGTAGTACTATTTACAATAATCGACTATTTATTAAAATAAAATAAAAAGAAACAATTATTGATTTTATTCCATCATGTATGAAAAGTTCAGTTAGTAATTCCTAATTTTATATATTGTATTTTATACACAATATATATCAAGCAGCACATGAGTTAATAGAAATTGGATTTCAGTTGTGTTAATAGTATATAGTATAGGTAAGCTTATATGCTTAGCCAGTTGCATCAGTAGCTTTTTCCTTTTTTTGATCACTTTGTTTTGGATTTGAATTATGTTCAATGTAACTGCAGGATTTAATTTAATCACAATTATTACAATATAAATGAAAGATAAAAACTGTTGTTGAGTTGGGCTTATATTTTATAATAAAATTATAGTGAGTATAAGATAAACACAGAATAACACTCTCCTGTTTCATTACAGTGATAAATGACTTTGTTACCTTAAGTGCAAGCACTATCAATTCTTCTTTAGTTGGTTTAACTGTATTATATATGTATAAGCCATCTCTTGTCTGTTCATGTGGTGATGACTGTTGCAAGTCAGGTAAAAGCTTTCATTAATAAGGACAAGTATAGTTCTGAAATTAGTTAAATTTAGTGTATGTTATTAGGAAGTGAGTAACATTTCAAAAACTGAGATTATCAAGGTAAGTGATTGAGAAAGCATTGTTTAGCTAAGTAGCTGTGCCACTAAATAATTAATTATGTTTAATACCTAAAATTTAATTGAGAAACTAAAAGCTTTTAGTTTTACAAGTAAGTTTTAGGGTTATTGTAAATTGCTACATGAAAATCAAACATAGAACAAATTGGGTTTGACTTGTCATCATTAAGAAATAGTGTAGTTTTTCTGTTTTGCACAATTGAAAAATATGAATATTATTTGATTACTCTTAAATAATAATTTTTTCAGAAACTTTTGAAAAGTCTGTAGTATTATTCCAAACGATCTGGAAAGTCCAAAAACACTTAGACTTGATCTTGTTATATACAAAAGTGTCCAGATTGTTTTGGATCACTTCTTCTTACATGTATGAATGTATCTCTTTGTATAAAGATTTTGACCTTTGTTTTTTTTTGTTCATACTTGGTTAGATTGAGAAGTAACATTAATTTAATTGTAAACTAATTACAGTTAAATATTTTTAATAAATCTCTTTTCATAGCCTGTATGTTTGGTTCAAAGCATTTAATTAACATGGCTAAGAAAAAATAGACCGTCACTTGGGTAATTCCCTAGCAGGGAAGGTTGTCAGTTTAAAATCTTTCATTAATGCATTTATATTACTACATTAAAAACAAATTTAATTTTTTATTTTTAGTATTATAGCTACTTGTATACTACGTCTCTACCTGGTGACATTAAGACATGGGTGGATTCACGAATGAATTGTGAAGATATTGCCATGAACTTTCTTGTGGCTAATATCACTGGTAAGGCTCCAATCAAAGTGACTCCACGAAAGAAATTTAAGTGTCCTGAATGCACTAATGTAGAAATGTTATCTGCTGATGTTATTCATATGGCTGAGAGATCAGAATGCATCAACAAGTTTGCACAGGTGTATGGAAAAATGCCTTTGAAGACTGTAGAGTTTCGTGCTGACCCAGTACTTTACAAAGATAACTTCCCAGAAAAATTAAAACGATTTAACAACATAGGAAGTTTGTGAATTAAGTATCAGAAATATTAAAAAAAAATATCTCTAACTTACTGTCACTTTAAGTTTACTTTTGTATAAAGATTTCTGGATAATTTTGAAAGTGAATGCATCTTGTGAATCTTAAAATATTCATTTTTAAGTTCAGAAGTTAATATCAGTTTTACTTGCTCTTATGAAAACGTATGTTTGATTTTGTATCGAATGAATTGCAAGATTAAGTTTTAGTAGTAAATTAAAGTTAAATATCTGTTCTATCAGTTTTATAGTAAGTATGTTTTGTCTCAAATTTAAAGTGACAACTCCTGTTAAAGCATTTACATAGGTTGTGGAAACTTTTCTGAATTGTGGGGAAGAAGCTGGAATTCATTATGTTCTTCCTTCTGTAAAACGTATTGAAATTTGACTTCCATATCTCGTTTATAAAATGTACACTGTTTATTATAATGGCATATTTTGTTGAATTAATTTTTTGTTTTTATGGCTTTTATTTGTTTTGTTTGTAATTGCATTATGTAATTTTTTTTTAATGAGCCTAACAAGCTTGTGTTGTTGCACTTTTAATTGTGATTAAGAAGCAAGATAACCTTCTACAATGCTGCACTGTTGCTGCTCAGTGCTGAGAGGTATGTGTTATAATATTATTCAACAGTCCATGGGCAAGAAGACTGATTATAATTCTATCATTTTTTATCAGTTCTTTTTTCTGTTTCTAGAAATCTTTTGACCAATTATTCAGCAGCATTTTTGCTGAAATTTATCTTCAGCTTTATTTAGCTTTTCTTCTTTACTTGTTTACATAATCACACATCAATGAATGAGTCACTTAGAATTTACCAAAATTATCAATGGGCCGCTCATAACTAAATGGAACTCCTTAGCAATTTCATTCATGTTCAGTTCATCAGCAAATTGATCACATTATCTTGGTTCATTTCATTGTTGATTTTGGAAAGTTCTTTAAATGCTGAGAAGCTTCTCTCAGCTGTAACATTTAATACTAGCAAGGTATGGATTTTAGAGAGCAAAATATTAGAGGATGGGACAACCTTAAACACATCAATTAAAGCTGTGGTACTTGTAACTTAATTGATATTCAAGGATTGAACATTCCTATTGGCTATATAAATCAAATCTGATTGGGTTCATAGCTGATGTTCTGTATGACTAAAACTGGGTCTTTTGAAAAATGACTTTGTTTATAGAATAACATTTTCTCCAATTCTCTGCAGCTGATTTCCTTGTTCATTGTTATGTGAATCCAGTAGGTTTACAATTTCCCATGGAAAAGCCAGAATGCCTTGGTCAAGTTGCCATTTCATTTTACCAATGGTAATATCCAAAGCTTCAAAATACTACTGCCTAAAGAATGTTTTTGGCATTTCAAATTGCTGAGGATCAGTTCTATTGTTTAGACACTTCAGCAATCTCTTGACTTTGAGTAGTGTTGGTTCTTCAGTTATTTTTGCTCCTTTGGTTATGACCAAATCGTAGAATATATATATAAATCCTTGTCAATTCTTTGTCATGCCAGGAATGCTAGAGTGATTTCAACTGACTGCAGATCTTGCAAAGAGCAGTATTTTGTTTGTAGAAATTGGAAACTTTGCTCTGTTACACTGAATTTAAGATAAGCTAATGTTAGCTTAAAGCACACCTTGAAATGTTCCAACTGTGCAAGAAACCTTTAGCTATATTGTCATACTCATCATTACAAGACAAAATGATTTCTAGCCATCATTCCACAACTGTTTGGTAATGTATGAGAAAAGCATTGATGGCACCTTTTCTAACATCCATCAGGTGGGATAGAGTGATTTGATGGAAATTTCCTAAAACTAAAATTATTTTTGGGATATCTCAGAAGCTGCTTGGCTGAATACTAAACAACAGTAGTACTATTACTACACTCAGTGTACATGTGTGTTTATATATATATATATATATATATATGCACACACACACACACAC